TTTTTGACTATCATGACAGGAAATCTATTGTCATGATACATTTTCTTAATCGATAGCGGACGTTAAAACAACCGGTTTTCTTTGCAGTTCTTTCAACAAGTGTTTTTAAACCTGTTGTATATAGACTTTTAAATATGGTTCTATGTTTCTCTACAGGTCCCAAGATCAAGGTTTCGTAAGCAAAAGTCAAGCGGACGTCTTGTAGCTTTCAACTGCATGACCTGGTATGTGTTGCCAGTGTAACAAGAAGGATTGCCCTCTCTTTAACAATATCAGTTAGAGTTAGCCACATCATATATACGCTAGAGTCCTTGACGAGTGATATAGAATGTGCAGCTTATAAGAATATTTTTTTATTCGATTCTAGATGGGATTTCATTTGCCTTTTATTTGGTCCAAATCAGGATATAGTCCAGTGTAGTGCCAGCAGTATAGTAACAGCAAGTATAGGTTTTTAAATTTTACTTACGTGTCATGCTTTAGAGTGCTTTATGAAAGTTTATTTATGTTATATTTTTGTGGTCCCACTTGCTTGCAAAGTGTAAAATTTTAAATTTTAATGAGACATTTAATTTTCCACCTATAGTGTATAATGTGAATGGATTTTTAAACTTGCATTTTACAAATTTTACTTTTGCATTTACAAACTCGCGTACTCCTTACGTGGAAGAACGCATCTATTTTTATTGGCATTCACTGTGCAATGCAAGCAAAATTTCTGTATGTGTGCGTGCGTGCGTGTGATAAAATAGTTTTTTGCGAAATAAGATATGCTGGCTAATCCAATAGCTAATTACCTACCTCTGTAAGATCTGAAACAGTGCATCAGTTGTTGCGTCAGTTCCAGTACATAGCTAACCGATTAGTTAAACATGATGGCATATATTTAGATTTGCTATATTTTCTCTATATGTGTATATATATATATATATATATATATATATATACCACATACGTACACATATCCTGATATATCGTCATGTTCTCTCTGTCGTTCTCATCTCAGTTTTATTGCAGCTTTGCATCTTTTAAGAGCTGTGTTATATGTCACTTGGACTGTTTTATGATGATATGATATAGGTCTGCCAAAAACATAAATGTATTATAATAGTCCAGTGTAACCGTATTTTGTCTACCCAGTTCACAGATTATACATTTGTATGTTCCCGTATTTATAATGTCGCCAGGTAATTTAATTTGATGACACAATTCTTCTGCAATAGTAATGTACGTCTTGGTCAATAATGCTTCAGGGGTTGTCATAAATATCTATACAAAGTAGAATTCCAATGCATTTCAATGATAAATTCCCCCGTGGTGCCAAACTGGTCACTAGCCATGTGCTTTGGTGCAGTTGTGGAACATTTCGTAAGGACCGCAATAGCAAGAAGACCTTTATGCTGGTAATACGGCAGAAGTTATGATCAAGCATAATCTCACTTCAGTTTTTTCATCACTTCATCAGCTAATATGCATAGAAAATGAATACGATCGTGAACGTGTCGATACAAATATGCAGATAGTTTATATATGTACAGATATGTTCAAGATGTGACGATTAGCTTCTGCATAGAAATAATGCTTATCCGGTATTTCCGAATTTACAGTGAGCGACTTTCTACCCGTCTTTTGTTTGTAGCTATTTGATTTTTAAGCTTTATCTACAGGCTATGCATTGGCGATCCTCAGCTGCCATAGCAATGCGAGGTGGCTGTGGGAATATTACTCGAATGGCGGTCTTGCAATACGTGAATCGTTTCTTGGAAGGTTCTTCGAACGTTGCCGTGGTTAAACTAAATAAAATTAAACGAATCTCACTTGGTATGGTTCGGCTTCATATCAAGATGAAGAATGATCATCTGTGGTGTCCATATATATAGTCTACCTACATTATTTTTATGGTGGTGTCCAGCAGGGGAAAAATAACTTTTTTTCACGGGAACTCTTTGTCAAGTCTGTGGGGGAAAATAGCTCTCGGCAAAAATTTTACGGGAGCTATTTTGAGCCTCACGGGAGCAATTTCAGAGGTTTGAAGAGCGAATTGCTCATCGCTCCCGTGTATTTTTTACCCTGGTGTCCAGCAGATAATACAAGTTTGACTGATCCCCCCCTGCACAAACATTATACAAGATGGGTGTGTTATTTGCACAACTATAGATATATACAAACACAATTGTGTTGTAAAAAATGATTACAACACAAAAACAATGATGTACAATGAATTGTGTTTGTATATATCTATGGCACAATGTTGTATCGAAGTATTTGTGTGCATCGCTTAAATTGATCCAACGTGCACAAATATTTATCTGTATATTTATTCGTAGTAATAATTGTCGGTGGTGCCTCGAGCAGATTCGTGAGGCATCAGAATACTGCAGGCGTGATTGATCCATTGATCTATATATATATATTATCAGGAGTAAGATAATATAGGATCCTATATTATCTTA